CAGACAAGCACTCACCACGTGAGTCTCGACAACTAAACTACATTTCGCAGTTTACTTCAGATATTCAACACATTTCTGGAGCAAACAATGTAGTTGCAGACGCCTTATCTCGCATAACTTCCTGGAACAGTTTCCAAGAAATCGATCTTCTTAAACTCGCCGAGCTTAAAAAAAGACACTGATCTTCAGCACGAGTTATCATCTACAACACTCAAGCTACGCATCAAACAGATGGGAACAGGTAAGGAAACCTTACTTTGTGACACATCTACAGGTAGGGATCGCCCAACCGTGCCGAAACCTTATCGACGCAACGTCTTCAATACATTGCACAAACTTTCTCATCCAGGTGTCCGTGCAACCATCAAGCTTATAGCAGATCGGTTTTGCTGGTCTGGCATGAATAAAGACGTGAGGGAGTGGGCACGCTCCTGTGTAAGCTGCCAAAAATCTAAGGTTATCAGACACAATAAATGTCCCTTAGGCTCGTTTAAAACTCCCGATGCTTGTTTCGACCATGTTCATCTGGATTTGGTAGGACCTTTACCAGATTCAAATGGATACTCTTACCTCTTAACCTGCGTAGACCGTTTCACTCGATGGCCAGAAGCAGTACCTATCAAGGACATCACTGCTGAAACAGTGGCTCGCGCCTTCGTCGAACGATGGGTAGCAAACTTCGGCTGCCCTTCAACCATCACCACAGACCGCGGACGTCAGTTTGAATCTGATCTTTTCCGACGTCTGACCACACTTTTAGGAATCACTCGCTTCCGAACGACCGCCTACCACCCACAAGCAGACGGGTTGGTAGAACGCTTTCACCGACAGCTAAACGCTTCACTACCAGCTGCAAACGTTTCACAGTGGACGGACGCTCTTCCACTCGTTTTACTAGGGATTCACAATGCAGTGAAAGCTGACATTGGATACACTGCGGCTCAACTCGTTTATGGAAGGACACTTCGACTCCCAGCAGAATCCGTGGATCCTTCATCCTCTTCAATGAACATGGATCTAACCTCCTACACGAATAGGCTTAACATGCGTTCAGTTAAACCTTTTTCCACTCGACCTCAATCAACTGATGTTTTCGTTCGAACTAACTTACGATATAGTGCACACGTTTTCGTACATCGAGACTCGTATCGACGACCTTTCGAATCAGCATACGAAGGGTCTTTCAAAGTTCTTCAATGCGAACGTAAGTACTATATAATCGATAAAAACGAAACTAACGATAGTACCAGCATCTATCGCCTCAAAGCAGTGTATTTATAAGGAAATCCTATCTACGTCCATTTTCCTTCGGTACAATCGAATGATTTGACGCTGACATTTATAATACCTCATCTGACAACCAACACGCACGATGATACTTCGACACTATCTGAAAATAAACTTATATTAACGCGTTCTAGAAGAAGAGTAAGATTTCCAGAATATTTAAACGACTATTGCACGTAAGACACCATTCAACACTTTGTTTCATCGCGGTTTTCCATGGCATTATATATAATATTAAAAAATTTTTAATATGCTTATATTTATACATATTTATTGTTCTGCTAATATGTTTATTAAAAATTAAAAAAAAACAAATACAAACATTTTGTAAAAATCGCTTTTACGCCATTTTCCTTTTTTCGCTCACTTTGTGTCTTAAAGCGCGTGCGAGTTTATTTCGACATGCACTTGTCTATTCTTTTTTTCTTTCCCAAGACGGCTGGAAAGGACGATAAAAAGAACGATGAGGCTTACGAGGAACCGAAATTTTGATTGTACATTGTTTTCTTACTATATTGTATTTCATGGTCCCTTATAGTAAGGAAAGACAACCAGACGCTGCTAAACCTAGCAAGCTATCAGAAGAGTGTTTACCAACGACAAACTCGTTGGGTTTAAACTTCTGGCTGGCCACGTCTTAGGCTCATCACTTCCCCACTAGGAGGGAGTGATCTGTAGCGGCAAATAAATCCCCAAAATAAATAGCTCTGTAAGTTTTCGACATTGGATGCTGACCACATGTTTTAATGGACTCACTTAGCTGAAGGCGCTTGGTCATGCATCCGCACCAGATCACGAGTGGGAGCACCATGCTCAACATCTACTGCAATCGCTAGCCAGATTAGATCAGACGAGTCTCAGTATATTGATTACATGTCAAATATATCTTCGAACCTCCTCACCACTGTCTTTCGATTTCACTTGGTGGGTACGCTTCATATTAAAAGGTGTTACTGGTTAAAGCGTTGTCAAACTCTGAATAACTGTGTATAATCCAAACTACGGTTTGGACTGAAGAGTAGCTGTCGAGGTAGGTTAAAGACGCGCCCTTGCCTGTTAAAATCAAAACAAGTAATCTGGTAAATGACGGTTCTATAATTCATTACAAATTTTAATGTACATCGTTTCCTAAACAAATATTACCACCCGGCTATTCAACCACTAATTGTTCAATCAATCAAATCTAAATTACAATAAATAAAGAAGTTGATAAAAGATGTGGGAAAAATTACCAGCCACAACAAATGAACGCTATTCTATTCTGGCCGGATGGAACACGCACAAAAGGAGGAGGAAATCAATATGGCTGCCGCGAAGGGCGAGTATCAAGTAAAACAACATAGATGCAGTTCGGAAAGAAAGGCGTAAGAAAAACAAAAACTACAATAAAAAATACAAATATTAACAATTCAAATGTAATCAAAAAACTAACAATGTACGGCTAAGGGAATCAATGGGAACAAAGTACAAATGTATACATTGAGGGATTTTCACATATATATACACACACAAAACATTCAAAACGGATCTTACAACTGTGGCATCTTCAGAACCTTCATATTCAGTTGAGTTAGCCGGTATCCCATCATAACCTTTCCAGAGAGGTTCTAATGACCTTATTGAATCTCTCACAATCCTCAGCGTGAATTCCAGGCATGTTGATGTATTTTCGTTGAAAATGCTGGTTATATGTTCATTTTGATTATATCTAGTATATTTCCGTGCAAACGTGTCGCTGAGCAGCTCACATAATTTTTCTGGGTCTCTTTTAAGTTCATCATTGACAGGACAGTAGAAATATTAGAATGAATGCAAGGTTTCTTCTTTGAAGTGGTTATTGAAAAACTATTCCTAGATAATCGGGCAACTTCTCAGGTTTAAGTGGGTTTGTTTGTTTATTCCCATAAAAAGATTTATCTTTCTTTTCGACTTCAGAATTCCTCAAGAATCAGATAAGTAGACACCTGATAGCCGAACAGGTCATTAAAAAATCAAATCCATCAGCATGGTGTTGGGTAACCTACATTCTGCACTTCTTTAGATACCCTCATCACATTTGTTTCCTTCCTATCTTATCTCAGAAGGAGGACACGTACAAAAAGTTATGCCCGATAAATTATGGAAAAAATACAGATGATACAGAGATTAGGCAAGAAACTTGTCAAGTATGTGAAATCTTCAAACTTTTTGAATAGTAATTGAATGGTAGTCGATTCTAGGAGGAAGATGATGTAATGGCTTATTATTGGTTGCTAATGGTAAGTCGAGAACCGCCAGGTGTGTCAAAAACGTCATAATTCTCGGGTTATGGGTTAGTGGGGCATTTTCATCCCCGGTTAAAAACTACCCTAATATCTCACTCAGACCCCACTCAGTAGGCAAGTACTTTGCCATTCATATTCTTTAGAATAAAGACAAGCTTTCCCGTTGTTATTATCCTATTCTGCTGATCAGTATGTCGTTGGTTGTATTAATTTAAGGAGAAACCTGGCCTTCATAACGTGTTGAATAATATGTATTTATGTGGACTGTATGAGGATACAGTTAGCTTGTCGTGACAAGACAATCAAATTTCGTCAACAGCCATAGAAATATCAAGTGGAGACAAATATTTATTGGATGTGAAACAGTTATCTATTAGAGACCAAGGATGAACGGTTTCGTCAAATCATGGATTGATCGGAGTCAGACATAAACACCATTGGCTCTAGGCTCAGAGATTAAGCATTCGCATGCGAGACTAAAGATCTTGGGTTCGTATACCGTGTATGAATTGTTGGTACGCTTTGATGAAGGGTTTGTACTTGAATGAAACGGGAAACTAGTGTTTTCAATGATGGCCCAGAGTAGATTAACTCCTGATTTCAAGGATGAAAAGACTAGCTAGACTTAAAAATGACAAATAGGTATTTTTGTTACTGTGGAGCACCAGATATATCAATACCAAAATAATGATGGAGATATAACGAATATAAGTGTTCATGATGGAAAATAGGGGACGCTACTTAACCTGTCAGTGAGGAGCGTGTTCAAGTTTTGGCCTTATACCCACAATCATAAAAAGTTGTTACTAATTTCAAATATGATAGATATAATTCAATACAATGTGTATCTGGAATGATCACATAGTAAGTATGTCAATGGGATGTGTAAACGTAGGTAGCAAACGTACTTGAAGTATTTAATTGTGGAAGCTGTTAAGTTAAAACGAGAAGTGTGTGTGCATCGATGTATTTATGAGCGAAAACCAGTGATATATGAGCAGAGAGCAGAAAAGTAATGAAAGACCAAGGTCAAATCTGGAAAAGAGCTTTAACAGAAATAATATTAACTGTACAAGTTGCGAAAAACACAACTAATGACAAAAAATATTCGCTGAAAAAAGTCCATGTTTACCATCTCCAAAGTACTTTGAATACAGTTAGATCCTATCTTCATTTGCTACACCTTTGTTCTGAGACTTGTCTGAAGATTATTGACTAGAAGTCCCTCTTAGAAAGTGAGCTAATTCGCCTCGGTTGACTTCAGAAACTTTGATTTTCGTGTTTCAAATGGTTACACATTGTTCATTCAATTGCTCACCTTTTTAAGAGCATCATCACTCCTCCTGTAGTCCAATTCAGGGTTATCAGCGGATAGAGAGGAAGGGTTGTAAATTGGCTAGCAAATCTATCCTGTAGGAAAAAGCCTTGTCAATAATGACCAACTGAACAACAATTCGAAATGCTCTCCATACCGCTGAAGGGCATCGAATGTGGGACACTTGTTCTCAAGGTTGTTGGTGGAACTAACCAGTTTTCGAGACTTGGGAGATATTTATGTGGTCTGATGACGAATCTTCACCTAGAAAAACTAACGTTGCCAGTTTTTTGGGTCACCAAAACAGCCTAGTCGAAAAAACGGTACGCTTTTATTCACTATAATCATACTTATGGGACAGGCTGAGGATCTTTGTTGCCTTGCTGATCCTGTTTGGGAATTATTGGACCCACTACCAGATATCAGATTGTTGTTTTCCTCATTCGACAGTCAGTTCTTCGGAAATTCTCTCGGATGTGTAGAAGTCAAATGGAGCTCCCGGATGACTCTTTGTGCAGGAGTTTGCAAATTTCACAAACCTTATGGAATGTGTTCCATCAGCCTAAGTGAACCCCTACTAAAATTTAGACCGCGAAAAGATCTCGTGGAGACTCTGTTGGTATGATCTAACCATTGTAATTACTTTTTTCTTAGCATGAAATGATTCATGCATTTTTGTTCATAACAAGGAAGGACAAAGTTTGTTATCTCACTCCTAATCCAAATCTTTAGGATCGTGATGACCATGGACCAAATTTCATATCGCACATGCATCGCATCAACTCGTTGGCTGGAGTAAATATTACTGTAATACCAATGTTTTAATATGCCAGCGTGTCATTTATTCTCCTGTACATATCGTTATAAGCTTAATGGTTAATTTTATTTCGGTCACAAAAATATATCAGTGTCAACTTCTTTTTTTATTCCAGGAAGGTATCTTAGAATCATTCGCTTGTTTGTAGCATAACTTTTCTTACCTGATCCACACTGCCGTTGCTTAAAACCTTTGATAAATTTGAGTAGTGATATTTAGTCAATTAATATATTTTAACTTTAGTGAGGGTTCTCTGTTCACCGAGCTTTAGGATGACCAGGTAAGCCAGGTTCCCGATTTGATCACTAATTCATATGAAAATATGAAAAGTCGTTTTACATCCTAAAGTTACTTGAACACTTGCCTTCATATTTCTAAATTGCCTCTTGATGGGCTGGATAATGTATTACACACACACACCATTACTAAATGGTTTTGAGCCTAGCCTTCTGATCTGGGCTTGTTACTCAACTAATGTTTTGCTGAATTATTGTACTCAGTTGGCCTTCATAATATTAGTTCGATCTGAAAGTTTCTCTTTACATTGACCTCCTACAATTATTCATGGGAGAATACAGTTTCTATGACCAGTGGTTGTCGTTTGACTGTTAGTTACCTTACACAAAGATCGTTGGTTTCTTTTCCAATGTGTAGTTAAGCGTAGTGCAGTTGGTTTTATTTACTAGTTAAACTAGCTTTGGCAAGTCAAAAGTATATACCCCGGTTTTCATAAGAAGTCAATAAATGCGAGTTTATTTTAAGTGTGAGTTGTACGACCGACCAGCTGTCTTTACCTAGACTAGCTTATTTTTCGCGTATTAATTTAGTTACTGGTGTATTAATAGTACTATCTGGTCACTGGTGTTTATTATATATCGGTTCGTGAGCTCAGCTTCGTGACTCTGTTTGACCCAAAGTTACTACTTATCCTTCCAAATCATAGTCGTTGATGTTAGGTACATACATGCAACCGAATGACTAAAAGTCAAGTGATCTAACGAGTAGCTTCAACGTTTAAAGATGCAAACTCGGGTGTTTCGGTAATGTATCGAAAAGATGTGGTTCGAATAGCAAATGCAAGAAACCTAGTGTTGAGAAAAGAACACTGCATGATTCTGTCTTCAAGTGGTGATAAAAGCTGAGTGATTTATAGTTAAGCGAATTCAGTTACAGGCCATCATAGCATCTAAGACTTATTTGAATAGTTTACTTTTCCATCGACAACATATTGGTGATCGATGACTTTGTAACTTGAGATTATAACTTTTGTCTGCTAGTATCTTTATTGGGGTTTACATGTTTGATTACATTTGGTTGTGTTATATGTCTAGGTTTACCATGCATTTCATGATGAAGTTGATACATATCGCACTCACTGGTGGCGTTGTACCGGTCCATGTCGCAACCGTCCACCATACTTCGGCTATGTTAAACGTTCTATGAATAGAGTACCTGGCCCTAAGGATACTTGGTGGGGTCAGCATCAAGCTACATGTATAGGTAAGCTCATGGTTATTTGCTGTGTTGCGAATGCTGGGAGTATAATATAGTCTTTGTTTATAATTATCTGTTCATGGCATTGCTTTACATTCCAAAATACAAGCTTTAGTGTTTACATCTTTGGTATTTCACGTTTTGACGGAAGTTTTTCATGCATACTATATCTTAAAAATTCGTTTGTTGCTTTGGAGTAGCAGTAATACAGCTTGGTTGTAACTCATTGGTTTAGATTATCGTTAACTTTCTAAACGGAAGTGAATACCAGGACTCATTGGTTTTTAATCTGCTGATATTTTCAGGTAGATATATAGTGTTGTAAAAAATATTCACTCACCTCTGTTGTTTTAGCTAGTGTCACCGCAAGACTCAGCATTACCTTTTAGTAATGTTTTCTTTACCCTTTAGTCATCTTCCACTTCTACAGCAGGTATAAACAAAAAGTAGTACTTTTCAACACAACTTGGTCATTTTCTCCCTAGTTCCCCTCGAATAATACTCCCTACTGCTTAACAAGTAGAACATTCACAAACCGATGTTCGTAACGGCCACTTTATGAGGTCGTTGCATAACATCTGGCAGGACGTTACGAAATGTCTTTCCAGTTTATAACGTTTGCAAAAATAACCTCCAATGTAATTTTTATTTCCATAACATACCTTACCTTTCCTGATCCTAGTAACAAATTTCAGTTTTTGCCTGTGGCAGATTCAGCCCATGATCTATTATGCAAAACTGTGTAAAGTTGATGTTGGGTCATAATAGAATAGTATTTATCTTGACGTAAATTAACCGATGTCACTGTTTTTTGCCAGTAAAATAACCAATAAATAATGTTGTAATATTGCAATGAATTTTCATTAAAACAAAATAGAGAAAATTTCAAAATGATTTGGGATGGTGTGAAAGCTCTCTTCACTTCTCAGTTACTCACAACATGAAAGAGAAGTTCTTCTTGAGAGGCTTTGAAAGAAATTCGGGTCAAGTGTAGTTCCGACGGTCCGGGAGCGTCACCGCAGAGCTCAAGGAATATTTGTTGAAAACCTGTCTCATACAGCCTTTTCGTGGATGGTTTTTAATGTATTAGATTTGTAATCTTCAAACCTTGCCACAAATAACTGGAATCCATGGAGCCAATGTAAGTTGTACCGTTGTCAGAGTCAACCTCTTCCTCCATGAGAAGCCAGAATCATTCTATATATGTTGGGTGTTTGAGGGGAACACCTTACTGCTGTCACACTCCTGTGCAATTAGAAGTGTGACTTCGTCCTTGAACCTAACATAGTAGTACCTGAAGAAATGAGTGTTCCATCCTGTGTAGCTCGATTGTGTCACCACGATTAGCAAGTCTAACCATTATTTCAACGTAAAACCTATGGTTGATGATCTCCTGCTGACATAGTATGAAAACTTGAGATAATCTACATATATGTTATGCCCTACACTGATTATGACTGACTGATAACATTTTTCTCGTGATTTTGGTAAATTTTATTCGACAACGATTATCTTCGAAATTTTCAAGTTGATGAATAGTTTTCCATTAAATTGTGGATCGTGATCAACTTTTTCTGTATTTCTCTTTCTCATGATAAGGCGAATTAAAAAAAGACTTTGATTTGTTCTTTTTTATTATCATAATAATAATAATAATAATAATAATAATAATTGAAATTATTATTATTTTTATTATTAGGACGGTTGTTTCTGCCTAGATTTGTTGATTGTCATTAACAAATTCCCATTTCTACATCATCATACTTACAGCAATATTTTTAACCCTATTGATTATTTATTTTGTGTTTCGTAAATTCCCTACTAAATAGCCGTTTGCTTCTTAAAAGCTATGTGGTCAAATTTCATTTAACAACCAGTCAAATTTTAGTGGACATAATTAATCGTTGACCTATACGACTGTTTAGCTCTGAAAATAAGTTCCTTGAGAAGGATCCCTTGCATGAATAAATTGTTTTAATAGTGTGTTAAAAATTTATATCTATTGATTGATTTTAATTAGTATATCTTTTACTAAACCACTCAAATTAGAAAAATATCCTAGTGTTTTGCATTTTTGTTATTGATACTGTTTTGTTGCAATTAGGTAAATTTGTAAAAATCAAGGAACCAGTGAAGAAAGTTCCATCTAGACGAAAAACTTCATTTGAATCCAGTTCAAAAGACCAATCTACATCAAGTAATTTTAAGTTCCATTGTATTCTATGAGTTTTTTGTGTTTGTTTACTATATTGTAACAGGGCAGTTGACTGTCAAGCTTTTAACTACTCTCTATTTCCTGGTGATTAGTTGAACGAGAGGTCTCCACAAATAATCATCAAATTCCAAACAGCTGGTCGTATTATGCCGTGGGCAAATAGAACCGTAATTTATACAAAAATTGTTCTACTAATACATTGTGCGTTTCCTATATTTAACAAATTACTAACCAAAAATGAGAAACTGTGGGCTAATAGTCAGAGGACCCTTCTTTCAGTTGATGGGTTTTACATTTTATCTTTGGTTTGTTTATTTAGGTTTTTGTAGCTTGGGGGTATAAATAAACTTCACACAAAAATCCGACTGAAATTTGAGTGGAGGGACCTGTGCTTGTCTACAAAGTACCGTATAAACATGGAAATACTGTTTTGTTTGTTGTCAGACCGTCTTAGGACTCTTAAAATAAAAAAGTATATATCGTTCTTCACAGTATTATGCTAGAGGATAACTGAACTACCTAACCTAATGTTTGACTACCATGATAGTGAATTAAATATATAAATTAATCCTTAAATAATAACGGCACAGAGATCTAGCCATAAATTGTAGTACAAACTGTTTCTCATTAGTTAGTCCATTTGTTTATCCTCAAGTGAACCTTCAAATTCTTGATTGATTCCAACAAATCCAATGAATGTATTTTGTGATATCCATTTTCTCAAGATTATGCTATATCAGTTTTGTTATTTTCGCAACAAATGTCTTAATAATACGGAGGATTATAGTTGAATCTATTGTGACGTGTGGTGTCTGAAATCTGATACTGATACACGGTGTGCTATGTGCTGACCTTCCCAACTGACTACTCGATCGAAAACACAATAATGAGCGACAATGTGCATTGGACTACTGAATACTCATTTATATATATACCACTCTATCTTTAAGAAATCGACCTGTTTTTGTAGGTTTAATTCGTTTTCTCGTGTTACAAATTTAACAGATCTACTGTACTTACGGACATTCATCACATTTCAGGGAAATATCTTATTTCCAAACGTTTACGGACTGAGTAAACAATGATGCAGTCATGTGATCGAAAGAGGAGGATATATTTCCTTACGAAAAATTGTGAGTTGTGTATATGGTTAAAAATAGTCATAATAAAGTCAGAATATACCCTTGAGCTAATGGTGAAAGTGAAAATCGCTTCAAATTCATATCACATTTATCAAAGTAGAATTAGGAACTATTGTTAGAATTCAGAATGAGGAGTTAGTGTTTGAGTTTTCATCACGTATTGACAACTAAAATGCCAGAATCCCAAATCCCAATCATAACATAGTAACTCATTCACTTAAATTTGCTGTCCCTTGGTCGGCTAAGCAGGTTGTAATCTCAAAGTCGTTTAGTGCAAAATGAAATCTCGACAACTGTAAATTATTTGTAACTGCAATTTGCTTAGACCTGCACAACAAGTCAGGATTTTCCTCACTTTTTTTTCAGAAAAACAAATTAGGAGTGGCGATATTCGAAACTTTGTCACCATTAATGATGAAAAAGAAAATACCTTTACAAAATTTGCTAGTCACCCGAACAATGGTGGAAGCAGTTATTCATCAGTCCATGTTTGGCCTAGCGATGATAAAGGTCATATCCTCGGAAACGGTCACTCGTTATGTCAAGACGTGGCACTGATTGAATCGAAACCAAATGCAATTGAAACAATTGATTTATCAGAAGTATCATGCCCTAATTGCTCTTGTACTGTTTTACTCTCTCAGATTAATCAACACTTAGATATTTGCCTTTCATAAAGCTATCTTTACAAATTTTTGAAAATAAACTTTATAGTATTATAACTTTGGTTCTAATGCCTTAACCTAAGATCTTCGAAAGTATGTTCTGAACTAATTTTCCGACATGTTGAATAAGTGTCTCTATGTTTCAAAGGAGCTCAAAGGAATACCTGGAAGATGAAGTTGCTCTCATTACAAATTGCCTACGTGAGAATGCATATTCAGCGAAGTTCATCCAGAAATATGCCAAAGCCAACCCTCGGGTTATGTACGATAGAGTGGAAGAGAAAACCTGCTTCTTATACTTACGCTTCAAAGGAGTTGAAATCACTGAAATAATTAATCACAGGATAAATTCCGCGTTGAAGGTGACTTACTCAGCGGAAAAACTGACGACACTATGGGAAACGAACTGCTCTCACAAACAAACTAAAATCGACAGGTCCTCTTTTCTCAGTAGCTCCAACTGCATTTACTGATTTACATGTACGTGCCAAAGCACATACATTGGAAGAACCGAGAGAAGAGTATATGTTCGCGTTTCCGATCATGTTTCAAAGAAATTGAGACTACGAGGGACAAGGGCTCTTAACAGTGCAATAGTTTGGCATTTACTTGACACTTGGCATAACATTGACATTCCTCAAGCTTTTAAAATTATTAGCAGACAAAAAAGTACTGCTTTTCTCCGTTTTGCCGAAGCAATCGCGATAAAAATACTCAAACCTGATCTATGTATTCAGAAAGAGAGTAATAAACCTATTACTACACTGGTAATTCAATTTTTAGTCATTAGTCTTATTGTTAATGTTTAGTTTTTTATATTTCTCTTTCATTACCGAATTCTTAAACCATCCCTCCACTCATACATTTCCACTCACTCGATTCTCTTAAATTATGTAAACTCTTCAAATCCCGTTCAATTATTACGTAACACATCTTGCTAGTTTTTTTAATTCCTTGAATCTTATGTAAACCATTCATTACTTCTAAAATTTGTCACACAATTTATCTTATCTGTCTCTGAACTTCACTCAATTATTACGTCACCCATCCCTAATTTTTTCTTGATTCTAACACCAAATAACCTCTGACCTGTTCTGTATATATATATATATATATGTATATATATATATATATATATATATATATATATATATATATATATATATATATATATATATATATATAGTTATATATATATAGTTATTACTGATAAACTTTGTCATTCCCATTCACTTATGCCAATTGTTCTACACTATATCTTACCTCAATGTAAAATTCTAATACATATTTGGTAGTAAGCAGCTGATGAGAAACCGCGATATATAATGAATTCATATTATTCTGCATCCATGTTCGTTCTGGCTTTACTTAAATTCGTAAAGGGAACTAAAAGCATGAAATATATGTGGCAAATTCACCATAAGTTGGCTTGATGGTTCGCTGAATTATTAGATCCAATTCGTAAAAGGGTAGCACTCCATTGTTTAAAGACACATTTCAGAATAGAATAAATTGATTTTAAATAGAGCAAGAACAAACATTGATGCAGAATAGTATGAATTCATATTATTGGGAGGTTTCTCGTCAGCTGCTTACAAACCGAAATTGCGATAGAATTTTTTACATGAAGATAGTGCGAAACAATTGACATAAATGAGTGTAAATAATTGGACTACAAAAATAACTATATATATATATATATATATATATATATATATATATGCTAGAAACAGGTCAGAAGTAAAAAAAGGGGTTAATTCAGGTTGGGTGGTGTAACAGTTTAGTGAAGTTCATAAATTGTGTGATAATTAGAGATTAATGGAATTGAATAATGATAAGGAGATTACGTAATAATAATTAAATAGGATTTAGAAAGTTAAGATAATTTAAGAGGATCAGGTGGTGGAAATGTGTGAATAAAATTTTAGTTTAGGAATTAGGTAATAGGGGAGTATAAAATATCTTAAAATAAGTAAATGAATAAAATAACCAAAACACAAAAAACAAACGGAAACAAAAGAGATTACCAGGGTAGTGATAAGTTTATTAAAGTCTCTTTTCGAATGCATAAATCCGGTTTCAGTTTCTTAATTGCAATGGCTTCAGCAAAGCGGAGAGTGGTAGTACTTCTTTGTCTATTGATAATTTTAAACGCGTGCAGAATATCGACGGTATGCCCGGTGTCAAGTAGATGCCGAGCTATTGCACTGTTGAAAGCTTTAGTCCCTCGCAGCGTCAAGTCCTTCGGAATATGCTCAGAAATGCGAACCTGTACTCTTCTCTCAGTTCTTCCAATGTATGAGCTACGGCACGTACATGTAAATTGGTAAATGCAGTTGGAGCAACTGAGGGGAGAGGATTTGTTGATCTCCGTTTGTTTCAGTGAGCAGTATGTTTTCCATAACGTAGTCAGTTTGGCTGCCGGGTAGGCCACTTTTAAAGCGGAATTAATTCTGTGATTGATAATTCCGGCGACTTCGTCTCCTTTGAAGCGCAAGGATAGGAAGCAGGTTTTCTTTTCAACTGTATCATACTTAATCGGAGGGTTTGTATTAGCATATTTGTGGATGAATTTCTCCGGATATGCATTTCCACGTAGGCATTTGGTGATTGTGGCAATTTCTTCTCTGAGGCATTCTTTTGAGCAGATTTTGCGTGCGCGGTCAAAAAGGTTTCGCACAATACCCTTTTTATAACTCATTGGACAGAAGCTGTTAAAATTGAGATAAACTCCGCTCCAAGTATTTTCGCGATGAATGTGTCTTTGTAGTGTGCCACCTGATGTTCGCCTAATTCCAATATCTAGGAAATGGAATTTATCATCAACTTCATGTTCCATGGTAAATTCTATATCTTTGTGTACTTTACTGAACAGACTGAGTAGGTACATGGAGTGTTGGTGATTTTTGCAGACAAGGAACGTGTCATCCATATATCTGCAGTAGAATATGGTACTTTCGATTGCGTGCTTAAGTTTCTTTTGTTCCAGATGTCCCATAAATATGTCAGCAAGAATTGGGCCCAGAGGGCTGCCCATTACTATTCCATCAATCTGTCGGTACAGAACATTGTTAAATCTAAATTGTATGTTTTTTGTACACAAAAACAGGAGCTGTTTAAATTCCTGGGGTGGTAAAGGTAGGAGTTCTGGATATTCACATATGATCTCTGCCGTTTCTTCCAAGGGGATATTTGTGAAAAGCGAAGAGACATCAAATGAAACCATGAATTTGTCAGAGACAATAAGATTACCAAGTTTTTGTACAAATTCAAAGCTGTCTTTCAAACTGTAGGTTGCTAGTTTTTTGCGGATTGGTTGCAAGCATCTAGTTAGCCAGCGGGCAAGTTTATGAAAGTGCGATTTGGCCATCGATAATATTGGTCTTATAGGGATGTCGGGTTTATGTGTTTTGGGTAGCCCATATAAGTATGGCAATTGTGACCCTTTCGGTTTGAGTTCGTTATACGTATGATTATCTATTAGATTTTTCTTAACGAGTTCTCTCAACTTTCTTAAGACACGTTTCTCTGTCGCATCTGTTAAGTCTTTCTGGGTATTGTCGATGATAAATCTGGTGGTTATTTAAAATGGACATTACCTTATTGATATATTCATCTCTGTTAAGAATGACTACACTGGAACCCTTATGCGGACGAAGTAGCATTATTGTTTCGTCTTTAATAAGTTTTTCCAATGCTTGATGGTGATCTTCGGTGAACACCCTTGAGTGTGGGATTGGTGTCGTAACATAGTGGTTTGTGATATCCACGAATTTAGATTTAAACCAACTATGCTTTTCGTCGTTCATGGGTTTAAGGTCTGACAATTGTTGATATAAATATTCAAACTGGGTCTCAGTGTCTATTCTGTTGCATTTTCTTGGGATATGAAATTTGAATCCAAGGCAGAGTGCTTCAGTTTCAATTCGACTTAGTTTTTTATTCGATAAGTTCTGTATGTATTTTCGTGGAGTGGTAGGAAATGCCACGTGGTTTTGCTCTTTAACAAGTGTTTTGGTTAATGTCTTCATGAATTTGTGACTGGTTTTCGACTGAACATCGCGAATGAAGTTAATAAGTTTAATACGACATACAATATTGAAATCTATAACAATTTTGTCATAACCAAAGGATTCTATTTTAAGTTTAGAGATAAGATCCTTAGTGCATTCAATTTGGGATTTGGTGACTCGTCGAAGATTTTTTAACGAAGGAGGTATTTTACAGGCGCGGACAGCTTTAATAATGTGGCGAGGAAAGCAGCCACCATTAAGGCAACGTGACAAAAACATTAATCTTGTTGTTTCTCTCGATATCCTGCAACGAATTGTCACCAACTTGTTGAGTGACTTGAAAATGCGAACAGGGAGACGGCTTTTCAGAAATTTCATGCAATCAGTTCCCTTAATGAATTTAAATAGAGCAAGGGAACTGATTGCATGAAATTTCTGAAAAGCCGTCTCCCTGTTTTAGTGATTATCATTTACTTTGAAATTACTGAAACTTGTTCACTGGTACGTCTAAGATGGTTAGTTTCACTAATCCATCATCTCTGATCATAATAAGATAAAATGTCTATTATCATATATTTTACTCATTTTTCGTCTCTTGTCTTACGCCTGTTATTCGCAGTGGAGCATAGGCCACTGACCAGAATTCTCAAACCTACTCTGTCCTGGGCCTTCCTTTCTACTTCTATCCAATTGTTGTTCATTCTTCTCATGTCTGTCTCCATTTCTCGGCGTAATGTGTTCTTTGGTCTTCCTCTCCTCCATTGGCCATGTGGATTGCGAATGAGGGCTTGTCTTGTGACTCAGTTAGATGCTTTCCTCAATGTGTGTCCTATCCACTTCCAGTGCTTCTTCCTCCACTGGAATTCGGTTTGTTCTCCCCCACAGTAGGCTGTTGGTAATAGTGTCTGGCCATAGATATTGGTACAAGGAGGCACCAAATACATATGCGCCACACAGATCTCATTTGATATGTGTGAGGGCTGTGATACGGCTCGGATGCCCAAACCGAACAGGTAGTTCTCTTAGGGGGCCACACCCGTAGCCTTCGACCTGAAGGTCTAATCCACAAGGCAGTGGAGCATCGTAAGGAGATGCAGTCCCATGGAAGCTCGTGACCAACGGTTGGTTCATACGCCATTTGTTCCTTCAGGATACTTGAGTCCATGTGCACCATTGGTTTGGAATTAGGGTTTTCCAACTCCCCTACGTAGACTCTCTGTGTCCACCAACCAGGTTAAAGCGCCGGACATTCGCTTTTCGTCCTCTCAATTTCGTAAACAACACTCCCTGAGAGAAGGCACCGAGTAGGACTTCCTTGGCAGAGGCTATATACGCGTGGTCATGTGAGAGGATTTTGAGAGGGAGAGCGGACTCTCTCCACTCTCGGCCATACCAGGGCATTTGGGGGCGCACTGAAACTTGGTTTGTTCTCTCCTACATTAGTTTGTTACTAATAGTGTCTTGCCAACGGATCCGAAGTATTTTGCGTAGACAACTGTTAATAAACACTTGTATCTTCTGGATGATGGCTTTCGTAGTTCTCCAGGTTTCCGCCCCATACAGTAGAACTGTCTTGACATTTGTATTGAAAATTCCGACCTTGGTGTTGGTTGACAGTTGTTTTGAGTTCCGGATGTTCATCACTTGTAGATATGCTGCTCTTGCTTTGCCTATTCGCGCCTTCACATCTGCATCAGATCAACAGTGCTTGTCAATGTTGCTGCCGAGGTATGCAACGGTTTTTACATCCTCCAAATCTTCTCCGTCAAGTGTGATTTGATTGGTGCATGTTGTATTGTATCGGAGAATTTTTATTTTCCTCTTGTGTATGTTGAGACCTACTGCTGTTGAGGCTGCTGCTACATTGGTCGTCTTCTTCTGCACTTGTTTTTGCGTGTGCGATAGAAGGTCATATCATCTGCGAAGTTTAGATCGTCAAACTGCATCCTAGTTGTCTAGTGTATCCCGTGGTTTCTTTCAGATGTTGACGTTCTCATGATCCAGTCGATCATCAGGAGAGAAATGGTGAGAGTAAGCAACCTTGCTTGACACCAGTCTCTACTTCAAACGAGTCTGTGAGCCGTCCTCCGTGTACGATTTCTC